GTTATGTTACAAATACAAAGATAGCAGAGTACTTATTTAATTATGTTAACTTAAAGTTGTAGTGAGACGATGACACTGATAACAACTTTATCCGTGCAATATATTATGTCAATATTATTAACAAATGTCAATTACTTAGAAAAACAGATTTAAAACAATTCTTGATCTTCATATGATGAGCTCCGTTTGAGATCGAAATTGTTCGAGCGCCACCAAATTATGAACAGGCTAAAACGCAATCTGTAATAAGTATCTACTTAGGTACTTATTTATAGGTATGATAAAACTGAAGTGTTTATTATTTTCGTTCATTTAACGTGCTTAATCATTTCTGAAACTGCAATACTTTCATAATTATTATGCTATTGCAAAATAGTCATAAATAAACTTCCCATAAAGTGCAAATTTCATTGCGTAGCAAGACACTACTAAGAAACAAAGAAAAAGTTACCTTAAATTCCCACATTTTTTTTCACGGCTCTCTAGCATTTTTCCGATACCTATAGGTACATTCGCTCATTAGTGATCATTTCCACTTGATTCCACTCCATTGACGGTTAAACAACAGACATTCGACATCGATCTTGTTGACTTGGAGTCCTAGATTGCTACTCAATTGAATACTACGTCAAAATAGCAATGTGGTTTTTTTTATGGTATAGGGGAGACAAACGAGCTGACGAATGATCTGATGGCAAGTAATCGGCGGTGTCCATGGACACCCGAAACACCAGAGAAGTTACCAGTGTATTGCCGGCTTTTTCTTGATTAGGGATTAGACTATTGGAGATGGAGAGGGTAGGATTGTACCTCTGGTAACATCAATCACAGTCACAGGTGAAACACAACGCAATATTGTTTCATGACAGTTTTCTGTGAGGCCGTGGGCCGTGATATCACTCCGGTCGAGCCGGCCCATTCGTGCCGAAGCATGGTGCTCCCCATTTCAATGTCATGGTATTGCGCTATACATGTGTACGTGTACCTACAGTGTGACCTACAATAACAATGTCCCTTTACTACAAACTGTTAGGTATTACTCACAAAAATCTCTTAATCAATCGGTTACGCTCACGAACTCTTCAAACTGACACTATCAACAACAAAATAAAAATAAGTCCGTTATTTATCAATACTCGAGACTGTCGGCTTTATGAAACAAATAATCATGCGTTTGCTAACACAACTACAGCTCGATAATCCTAAAGTTAAGTTGACTAAATCGCATTGCATACCTATATATGACATGCTTTTTATCTCGATAAAGGTGGGACCAAAAGTGCACAACTGCATAATGTTAACTTGTCATTTATCGTTCAAGATTGACAGATAATAGAGAGCGTAGGTCAGTACCTACGCTCTCTATTATCTGTCTAATTCAGTAATTAGCAACAACCACGTTTATTTATTTTCGTTTTATTTCGTTATGTGAGTGAGGTTAAGTGTGGGAGAGCCATGGTTCGGCACGAATGGTCCGGCTCAACCGAAATGATACCACGGCCTCACCGAAAACAGACGTGAAACCACTTGCGTTGTCCTTCGTCGTATAAATGAGGTTACCGGAGGTCCCAATTAATTATCCCCCTTCCCAATCTCCCCAATCTTTTAATGTCCAACAAGCCAACAATAAGGCCGGTAAAGCACTTGTAACGCCTCTGGTGTTGCAGGTGTCCACGGGCGACGCCGATTGCTTACCATCAGGTGATCCGCCTGCTCGTTTACCGGCTTATCCCATAAAAAAAGGTTACCGGAGATTTATTCCTTCCCTGGCCCCAACCTACCGGTAACATCTGGCACTGGATAACTGAACACTGGACTTGTAACTACCCCAGTGTTGCGTTGCGAGTTTCCATAAGCGGCGCCGATGCCTTACCATCAGAAGAAAGTAGAAAGAAAGAAAGAAAAACCATTTATTTTTGCGCAGACAACACATAAAATAATTAAAAAATAAAAATAAAATAAAAGCTAAAAAATGAAAAATGAAGTCATCCATCAGCGATGATCCATCTGCTCTTATTCTACTACTAGAAAATATTGTTATTCCAATGCTATAAATAAACGTTTTCCTACAACACTCGATACACCTTTGGCTAAAACAAGCGTGATGTTATGAACACATGTGTTATTGACATTGGTGCGGAGATTATCCACACTAATTTACAAACAGTTACCTTTATTGTGCCTAGTGAAACATGTTTTACTTTTAATGTCATGGTACCTTAGACATGTGTACCGTGTTACGCATAATAACAGTTTTAACTTTTATAAGGTGATTTGTTTTCTTACCATTCATAAACTGAGTAAAAATTAAATATTATTACGTCTTACCCCATTATGACCGACAGCTACAAACGTCAGAAAGACATAATTTCCAAACACCCTCGAAAAGAAATTTATACCCGATTCTAATTTCACCCTTATTATTTACATAGAAATTCAGTCTAAAATCGTTTGTGACAGTTGCAACTAAGAGCGTAGTATGTAGGTAATGATAATGCAATGTAGAAATGTAATCAAAGCAGTGTCAATAATTCAGTTTTGGTGAAAACAAAAGAACATTAACAGTGAGATAAACAAAAATATGAAAATGACAACATGATTCAGTTAAATGAGATAGAAGGAACGCATCTAACAATAACACGGAATTCTATAAAACGGGCTTTATCAGTTAAGGAGCAAAAATGTTGAAATGCCATCGTGAGCTTATGAACTAACTATGTAAATGCAAGAAATGAATGATGTTCACATTCTAAATATCGTTACAGGTCTAGACTTCTTGGAACATGGAGCAGACTTCGAAGCTGCAATATCGGCGACAGGTAAGAACTATTGTAAAAACTTATTAAATATCATTTAGCTTTAAACTCATTTTTTAAAACATTTGAGTCCCATAGTGATCTTCATCTACTACGCTTAGATTCAAGATAGTAAAAATAAAAGCCTTGATAGAAATGTTCTGCATGTCAAGTGCATATGTTTTATTGCAAGATTACATTATTAACTTTTTAAAACAACAGTGTTGAGAGTGACGATCGTGATGAAAACAATAGGTCATCTATCTATGAATTGTCTATTGACTAACTCAGATAGTTTTAATTTATTCAAACAGGGTCTGGAAGACCGCTACTTATAGGTACTAAGTAAAGGAATCTCAAGGCCTAAAAAGTGCTAATGTGTTTTCGGAGGCAATTTTGTTGATTAAGGTGTCCTATAAATGTGGAGTGATCAAGAAAAATTTCATTTTGTCCATTCCAGGGTTCGGTCGTTTCCACTTCTGCCTGCTGGCGGTCACCGGACTGATCTACGCCAACACTGCCATTGGCATCACTATAGTGTCGTTCGTCTTACCGGCGGCGACATGTGACTTCAAGATGACATCTTCAGACAAGGGCTGGCTTACTGCCGCCCCTATGTTAGGTAAGACTACGGTTTTATTAATGTAACATTACGGTAGATAACTAAATAGACACGTAAGATTAGCAGCCTCAAAATTACCTAATTCGAGGTTTTCGACACATTGACATTTCTCAAGTCAACGATTATTGTCGTTTTCTATGAACATTTTAAAGAGGACTTATTGTTATAGTTCCTATATTTGGAACTAAAAAAAAACGTAGTTAAGCACATAAAAGAGAAATTTGGTTAAAGACGTGTGTAGTTAGATAAGGGAATCGTTTTAAACTGTGTCCAAAAGCAAAGAATTTCTAGCCGAGTGTTTATTATTTAATTTCGTACACGAGTCTTACTTTCTCATTAGGTCTACATTATGCAAAAACTTAATGCAAATAATTTTGTGGCAGGTATGGTGCTCGGGTCATACTTCTGGGGTTGCTTAGCAGACACTAAAGGCCGTAAAATTGTGCTGGTGTCAACTCTGCTGATGGATGGTTTCGTTGGAATTATCTCGTCCTTCGTGCAGATCCTCCCCATCTTCATGGCTTGTCGATTCATCAACGGTTTCTCGTAAGTATTATAACTAACCTCAACTCAAGTTTAACTATGGCAAAATTTAAAGCTGGAAATAAATGAATAAGTATGCTCCTCAAAAGAAAGTAAAGAACTCTCAAGATAAGATACATAGTGATATAGAAATTACAAAGGTAAGATAAAGAAAAATAATAGTTAAAATGAATACGGAAGTATTTAGCCAGATGGAAGAACGTAAACAAATAAAAATGGAGTAACATGTTGGATTAAAAGCAAACTATATCAATGATTGTTATCAAGCTCGTTAGCATTTAATCGATGTGATGACACCATTTTACTGGTCATTTTACGCTCTTAAGTACTACTGTGGGTAATTATATGAAGCATGTGCTTGGAATCAATTGTGGCGTGCCTGTCCGCATGATTAGTGGCCTCCATTGTTTACAATGAACTGAGAAAAATACCTTGGGCTTGAAACGTGCCGGTATCAGGATGCTCGTAACACGACTAATATGACATATCACAGTCCTAGTTAAATCGGGAAAGAAATGTGAAACTTCCTTCAATTTATCATTAATTAGGCACTTTTAAAACATAAAAATTGAATTCTCCTTCAGTCTATCAGTGCAGCATCAGAGCAGGAACTCCATCGTTAGTCTTTAGAAAATAAACTTATTCTATAAATAGATGAATGAATGAGACGAATGTTTGTTACCTAATCACGCTAAAATGGTAATGCATATAGGGTATCTATCATAAAATATCACGACAGTGGCCCATCTGTTGATCCATCTACCCGTTTGCCTCTCTAAATTCCATAAAAATCATGTCTATGGTTTGTAGTAATACACGAGTTAGGTAAACTTTTTACTAAGTTGTCATTTCTTTCTTTATTTACAGTGTTGCTGGTGCTATGGGTATCTGCTTCCCCTACTTGGGAGAATTCCAACAGACCAAATACAGAGAAAAGATCCTCTGCTGGATGGAAATGTTCTGGACACTTGGAGTCATCTTATTACCTTGTGAGTTATGAAACGCACCAATTTAAACATATACGTATTGAATATCGATGTTTAAATGTCAGAAGTAATATCAAATTGTCTAGACATCTACAAAATGCGTCTATCTACTTAATCAATGCACTTATACTTACCGTGTTCCACCACTTCACTTTCGTCTTTCGTGCACAGAAATTTTAATTACATATCAATGAAAATTGACTAAAATATAGCAATTTCTCTAGTTACCAGTTTATACATAAATATTGACTAACTTTTGTTTTGCAGTGATTGCTTGGGGCATCATCCCCATCTCAGGAATCCGTATCGAGAGCGGTACCTTCTCTTACGACTCATGGAACTGGTTCGTCGCTGCCTGCGGTGTACCTTCACTCCTTCTCGGTTTCTGGTTGTTCTACTTCCCCGAAAGCCCTAAATTCATGATGGAGTGCGGTGACTATGACGATGCCCTTAAAGTCCTGAAGGGCATTTACAAGCAGAACACCGGTGATGACCCCGAAAACTACCCGGTAAGAAATATTTCTGCACCTATTGAACCACCTGTTCAAAAATTTTTGGATTCGAGGACCTTTCCATCGTCTGAATTATTACTCATATCTACTAAATCTTCATTTTACAGATCAAAAGCCTCAAAGAGAAAGTCCGAACTGTATCTGTTGGCTCCCAGACCTCTGTCAAGTCCGTCCGTAGCTTGAGCATGCGTAAACCTAAGGACCTCAAGCGATTATTCTCCGAGATCTGGGTTCAGACCAAGGCTCTGTGCAGACCGCCCTACCTCAAATACACCATCCTTACCTGCATCATTCAGTTCGGTTTAACTACAAGGTAACGATTTTGCATATTTTTTTAGGCTTTCTATGACCTGAAAAAGCACCTAATTATAATCAACATCACTGTTCTGCAAGATGGTATAGCAAATAACTGGTGCTTTCTATTGCGACAATAATTGTCAGGAGCAAAAATACGAAGGAAGTCATTGTGCAATTCAGGAGCATCAATCCGACAGTGGTCAATTTTGTATATTATTAAAATTTGTTGCATTTCCCGTCTACAGTATTTGTAGTGACAGAACTGTATTTAAGCGCGACTTAAAATTTAGTGCCGTTTGAGTATTTCAGCATCAAACTCTCAAATATGCCGAACATGAGGAGATGAGTGTTATCCACGTTTTCAGGGAGTAGCAGAAACGTTGTCATTTTAGACATTTTATACTTACCATTTCGTGAAAATTTCAGTTACTACACCCTCATGATCTGGTTCCCCGAGCTGTTCAACCGTTACGAAGAATTTGAGCACCGCTTCCCCAACACTTCAGCTTCAGTGTGTGACGTCTCCGGTATTGTAGTCGTGGACGAGGAAGAAGGGGATCCCTTCGACTGCTTGAAGACCATCGACTCCAGCGTATACATGCACACCCTGATCGTCGGTCTCGCTTGCATCCCCACTTCACTGTGGCTTCCTCTCTGTGTCCACAAACTTGGTGCCAAATTCTTCTTGAGTAAGTATCGTTTAATATTTATGTAATAACATTGTTATTTCGTCGTCAATTAGAGTCATTTTAGCTTGAAGTTTTTGGACTAAGCAATCGGTGCATCTTTTTTAATTTTTGACTCTTGTCTGAAGTACGCAATGTATACTTTGGATGCTTGGAAATTGGCTAATTTAAAATTAAATTTGTCTGGCAATTGTACCCATCAGATGATTTAATAAATTACTAACTAATAGGAAGGTTAAAACGACTTTGTATCTTATTTCAATATGGACAATTTTACAATAACTACCTTGTGTTTCAGTCTTCAGTTTAGGATTTGCCGGTGTAGTGACCATCGGCCTCTACTTCGTCCAGAACTCCACACAGAACTTGGTGCTGTCTTGCATCTTTGAAGCTCTCACCTCACTCGCCATCAGTTTAGTATTCTGCGTGCTGGTCGACTTGTTCCCTACAAACCTCAGGTAAAAAACTGTTATAAGAATAATATAATAATATGAAACTACTTAGTCTTGTGAAAATGTTTGAACTTATTTATGTTTTAGCTCTTACAATTGCTATTCCGTAGAATCTGATTATAGATAGTTAGATAGCTACAAATCTAACCTACTTACTACTTATTTAATTTCATCGTTCTGACTAAAGGTAGAAAAAATACAAGTGGTTAATTTGTTCCATCAATGAGAATTTGTCCGGATTGAGGACCACGCGTCAAGATGGCAATTTAACCCCAATGAGTCAGACAGTTATGTTTAGGAGTGGATGTCTCATGGCTGATATTAGGGTGATCATGATGTGTCTGAATTTGCTTCTTCTGGTCCAGATAAAGTTACATGTGATCATATCAGCGCAGGTTTACTCACTGCTGGATAAACGGAAAGGGTAGCTTTCCGTTTTTGAGCATGTCTCATGTGGATGAGTATATCGTCCACCCATTGCATTTTGGACGACCTTTGTTACATATAATATGGTTTACATCTACAGGGTAATGGCAGCCGCGCTGTCTCTAACTGCCGGTCGAGGTGGCGGTCTCATCGGCAACCTGTCCTTTGGCTACCTCATCGACATTAATTGCGTCGTTCCTATCGTTGTGTTTTCGGCATTCTTATTCCGTAAGTATTTTATTAATAACATGTAAGAATACGACATTTTTCCTCAAAGGCTGAGGTGCACTGCACATTTATAGGTACCTATAAAAATAAAAATGAATTTCCGTTCGTTAGTCTCGCTAAAACTCGAGAACGGCTGAACCGATTTGGCTGATTTGGTCTTGAAATCATGGAAGTCGAGGGAAGGTTTAAACGGTGAGAAAAAAATGTTTGAAGTCGTACGAAGTTTCCCTTAAGCTAGTACCGATTATATAAATGTTAACGAAAACTTCTTGCCTTTTGTGATATGAAGTTCCATATATAAAGGTGATTAGAGTTTAAGCTACTATTTGGTTGTCCTAAAATACTTTGGAATTTCTTATAGTAGGTACCTACATAAAGATCGGAACGATCAGAGACACAATGTATTATCTCATGTTGTGTCTCACACCGGCCTGGGGCAATCAAGTGGTTTATAACACATTTATTTGGAACTCAAACGTTCCGCCTACTTCGAAAAACGACATCTACCTATTTATACCACAATATCAACTAATACAATATTCTTTTCGCCCACAGTTGCTGCAATACTCTGCTTCTTCTTGCCAAAGACGGGACAGGAAGCCCTAGATTAAGCTACCAGTGGTTATTTATATATAGATGATAATTTAGACTGTCACACATATATCACTCGGTTCGAAGTGGTTGTACATACTTAGGTTGTTTGAAGTACGTGTATTTATTTATTGTGTCGCAACTAGGCACCGAACACATACTGCGAACAGTATGCAAATAATTGTTATTGAGTGATGAACTTTACAGTATTTTAGCGTTGACTGTGTAATATAATATAATTCAATTAAATTATTATATTTAAATATTAAAGGTTGATTACCTGATTACTTGTAATGTGTTGTTTTCTTTTATCCTGTATTTAATTGATGCAACGAAACGTAATATTAAGTTACAGAGCGTTTCTAGGTTATCTGTGACGTTTTGTGGTTTACGTAGACATTTTAAAGCTACGTAATAGAAACAAAGTACATAAAAGAAATCAAATAGGTATCGAGTGTGACTACTGGATATAGGAGAGTAATTCTAACTAACTGATTTCATTGCAAAAAAAATAAAATAAACAAAGTTTGTGACGGCATCGGAGAAGTATAAAAGACAATCATAATTGACTCTAATTAACTAGGGATAGTGTTTGGAATCTCAGTTTACATGTAAAAAAAAACTTGGTGTAACGAGGTGCAAGTTGAAAAGGGCAATTAGAGGACTATTGTAATTAAACAACAGTAAATAAAAGAATAAAACGTATAAAGATAATAATATATTTAACTTAAGTATATAAAAATTATAAGCACTAGATTACATTTACATATTGTTACACGAGCTAAGAATAGAATTTGAATCACAAAACAACATTACAATGCAATTTTTTACTTCACCTTGTATGACAAGAACAAGATCATTCGAAATAATAATCGACATCTAAATGTTTCATTTCATTTCATTTCATTTCATTTCATTTCATTTCATTAAAAAAATACCAAAAATCTTTTATCTGGCAACACTTTGTGAAAAAGAATCAACCTGTATATTATGACAACACAATGGTTGCAAAAAATGCATTTCTTTGTAATTAAAAGTGCAAATATACTTAAAACGTTCTATAGTTACAATTCGAATTTTAGTAAAATCCTAACATTAATGTAAAACTAAATAATTTTACAACGAATGAATGTTATTTAACGTGTTTACAAAGTGAAATTGCAATGTTTTAACCCTTAGTTTAATACAACATATAATTATTAACGTATTATTATGTTTAGGTGCAGTACAGGTGTTATTATAAAATTTTATAATATTGAGGTAAAACAAAGAGGTACGCGTAAGTGTGTTATGTATATTAATTTAAACGATATTATAGTAAAATTCAGAATATATTGGCTTGAAAAATTGTGCGCAACGATGTATAAAGCACAATGTCAGGCACTATAAATTAACTCGTACCTAATAAGTTCTAAACTGCAAATTAAGTAACTGTCAGGATGGCCAATTGAATTTCATTGTTATAAAGAACTTTTTTGTCATCAAGACATTAAAAGTATTGTTAAAATTAATTTTACAATAATATATTTATTTTCGGTGTACAAATTTATAAAACGATAATCTATTTTTCGCCACAGCTTAAAAAAGACAACATACGCGCCAATAAAAAAAAAATAAAAAAAGATACACTACATTAACAAGGTGGTTGACTTAAAAGCAAATCGTAGATTTTAAAGCCTTTACCTGTACCGCGTGTGACGTAACAGATCAGCGAGAAGTTTGCGCGGCACTGGGTACTTGTGGTAGCCCGAATTCATCAACTGGGACCCCGTCCTTGTTGCGGACACTGTCGGCTCCTGGTTCCTTGTCGGGAGCCGCCGGTGCCTTCACCACGTCGTCTAGGTACGATGCGTCATCGTCTAACGCTATTTCGTCACCTGTAATACGATAAAACAAAGTTATTTACAAAAATAGGCTTTTTTCATCATCATTAACAGTAAGGTCTACTGTATAGTGCTAAATAAAGACCTAATGGAGCTACCATTATCGTGGTAGGACTAAAGGGTAGTCACCTAAAATATCAGCGAGTTGAAATGTTATACTATTATATAAAGCGGAAGAGTTTGTTTTTTTGTTTGTTCGTTTGAACGCGCTAATCTCCGTAACTACAAGTCTGATTTGAATAATTATTTTTGTCTTGGATAGCGCATTTATTGAGGATGCCTATTGGCTATACAACATTACGCTACGACCAATAGGAGCTGAGCAGAGCGTGTGAAACCGCGCGGAAGTAGCTAGTATTAAGATATAGACGAGTACAGAAGCAACGACATGCATTCTACAAAGGCAAATCATCCGTTAACGCCAGGCCAGTACATGGCACGGTACGGCATGGCAAGGTAAAGGACTAACCAAGTTATTTTGAATCTTATTTGAATGACTTTAGAGTTCATGTTACTTTATTTCGATACAACAATGGCGCGTCGCATCCTGACATGCCGCAGCTTATTAAAAACTTCATGATTGTTCCAATACATACCCAGGGCATCTAATTCAGCAGCAAGCTCATCATCATCGATCTCCGGCATGCCGTACTGGCGACCCATCGCTTCCTGGACCTCGTCCGCTTGCTCCAACATGTCTGCCAACTCGTCGTTAACATCCTGGAATATTTTTATTAAAAATGGATATTTATTTTTAAGAAATCATATGACCCAGCCCAAGCAACTGACTGAATATAGCCGCTTTTTAGACAAGATTGAACTTTAGTACTTAATAACAAAGAACATATTGCTGTACACAGGAACATACCTCAATGCTATCAATATTAATCTTCTTGAACTCCTTCTTCATCTGTGTGACTCCGTCCTTCATGGCTGCTACAGTTGCTTGTGTGTCTTTTAGGGTCTGTGTAGCATAGTTAGCCTGCTCCATATTGAAAGATTGCGCCCTCAAGTTCTCTAGCTGCTGTTCATACCTGAAATTATAGTAAGAAGGTTGTTAAGCATAAAACCTTATGTTAGAATTATTGGAATTATGAGAAGAACTCTTTACTGAACTGTGTTACACTTTCAGGAAAATAATCTTTTTTTCTCTCAATTCAGTATGATTGAAGTTGAAACTTGGCCAAAAGTGCGATTGCGGTGCAAGGAGCATCAAGCTCGATTCCCGGATCGAGCAAAGTATTACTGGGTGTTTTTCTCAATAGTAGCACAGAGAGTGGAGTTGTGACTGGTATATGGCAATAGGCTCACTCCCTATTACATAGGACTCATAACATAAATACTGAAAAGTGGGTGTTACATACAGTTTAATGGCATTAAGTACCGTAATTTGTATCTCTGCCTACTCCTTCGGGGATAAAAGGCGTGATGTTATGTATGTATACAAAAATATGTTTTACAAAAACACTAATAGACAAAGGACAAAATTTAGTACAGAGGAGAAAGATTATAGTCTTGCAATCTGGACCGAACTAACACTTGAGTTAATTTTTTCCCTGCAAAACGCAAGTGAAAGCATTTGCAAAAGAAAATAAAATGTTGCTGACAATAATATCAACCTCTTTACTGACAGTATGACGTATTCTGTGTTGAGTATTGATAAAGATATGGCAAGACAAGAACTTGTTAAACAATATTACTCATATTATCAGAATATAAAGTGAGCGAAGTTTATTAACTAGACTAAAGCTCCTGACACACGGACTGCCTTTTAACTACAATGTAACCACAAATTGCAGTTCCTATGCAGTTTGAATGCTGTCATGTCACAACTGCAATTGAACTACATACCAAAAGTGCAGTCCGATTGCAGTTCTATTGTATTTTCAGTTGGATTGCAATTTAATGTGGTTCGTCAGTTTAGAGCCTTAGATAAAAAATTGGCAGAGTAACAATTAAGTAGGGTAACCTCTTGTCTGCCGGTATATAAGACACAATAGAAAACACATTGTGTCCCGCGTTGATCTACATGTAAAAGAATGAAGTAATATAGTGAAGCATTTTGAATAGCTAATTATCTTGATTTATTATCCTTTAGTATTCTTCCTCCACCGGTTTAACCCATAGCTCTACTTCTATTGATTGTAGAGCATAGACCCTTAAGTAGGTCTATTTATGTATGAAGACTATTGGACTATACAACTAAAAATAATTATCCAATTTGAACCAGTTGTTCTGGAGATTACTGTATTCAAAGAAACAAGAAACTCTTCAGCTTTACAGTATGTTTCATTATTACAGATATTTTGTAGTTGCTTATGACATAAGTAAAACTGCTCAGTAAGGGGTCACTCTTACTAAATTAAGCAGTGTTATTAGGGTCCTAAATATAGAAATTGTCTATACCAAATTTGTGTCCGACTTGTCCTATATTAAATGCAACTGCAATTTACCATGACTATTTCTACTGCAGATGCCTATTAAGTATTATGCCTAAAAGTTTTGCCCAAATTGTGACTCTAATAGTAGTTATTCTATGACAAGTAACTATCCTATAAGGGCAAATTGGACATTGGCTGAATACCCACTCCTCGACAATTATTTTATTAGACTCATATCTCTTTGTAGTAGCTAGACCAGTAATTATACTATTAAAAGTTCCTTATAGCTACGTATTTAGAGTAAGTATAATATTCTTACATTTTTTTCTGCTTTAACACCCTCATTGCCTTTTGTTTCACTGAATTCTTTGCTGGTCCCTCTCTCATTTTATTCATCTGATCCTTATATTTCCTGAGCTCGGATTCCAGTTTCTGGACCTTCTGCTCAATATTATCAGCCCTGCTATCTACCTGGAATAAACATTAATTTGGACAATCATGGAAACTATGAATCATCGAAACTATCATCTATTAACCAGTTTGATGTGATTTCAAGTACACTTACATTGCTTATACAGTCCGTAATACTTGGACCAGGTTCCTTAGGTTTTCCTCTTCCGAATATTCTGTTCATCTTGAAATATTAATCGCAAACAGTTATAGAAAGAGTAAAAAAGTGAAATAATAGATTCACAACAATTCCGTGGTTTGACGTTTCAACAATCAATCATTCGTCACAGACACTTGTGTGTTGTGTCAACTTTGACAGAAGCAGAAGAGTGTTCCAAGTAAATGAATTTGTTTTTCTACTATTTTCATATTATCATTTTAACGACTGGTAGGCCAACACTAGTCGTGTCTCGTGAAATTGTAATGTAATGTGTCTACAAAGACTGCAAAGAATATCAAGTATACTAAGATACCTAAACACAACATGTGATCATCAGAGTTCCTATGAAAAATGAAAATCAAGTGCACGAAGCTTAAATCGAGAGGACATTGAAAATTGAATTGAATGTATATCTATATTGTGAACTTGCAACCCCCATAAAACTTCAAATCAATCAATCAAATCACAATCGCATTCAAAATCAATGTGATTGCGAATATTTCGTGTCGATGGGTCACTGTCTGATTGGAAATTAGTAAAAAGTAATTTACACATTGGTTTGTTTGAGTTCAGTGCTGTGTTTGATAACAACAATTTTCTTTTAAAAAGTTCATCACCATGGCTACCAACGGAGTTAAGGGCGAAATGGTTTGTATATCAATACTTATAAAAAATATTTAAGGTCCAATTCTAAATTATTCATTTACTTATGAAATAACCGGTATTCATAAATAGAGGTAAGAAATATAACCTGATTTTAAATGTTATATTCTTTCACGAATCGCAATAATAATCCATAGTCCAAAATATGCTATGACATTAAATCCATTTAATGATAAAATGATAACACAATCAATAAGTTCAAGAACTAACCCATATTCTTGACATACTATGGCAATAAGAATTAATTAAAATATATCAGAGGCCATAAACAGGCTTAAGTGATGATAAAATGTAATAAACTTCTATCCAAAGTCAATAATATTATGTGATGTAAACTTACATGGCACCAGGCTAAAAATAACCACAAAATTATTCTTAAAATATAAAATATTATAAAAGCGAAGTCTGTATTTTTGTTTGTTACTCCATCACTATAAAACAACTAAAGGTATCGGGATGTGGAACAGTGGATTCTGGACTGGAATAAATAACACATAATAATATGAGTACTTTTTATCCCGCTGGAACAAATGACTACTTTTAATCTCGGTGAAGCCATTGACAGAAGCTAGTATCTAATAAAACTTATTTATCTCATCATAATAATATGTATGAAAATGGTACATCCATAATTTTTCATAACTTTATTCTCACTCATACATGCATTTTTCATACATGTTTCCCTTACTTTAATTTTCCACTTACGGTCAGGAGACTCATTGCTCATTGTCATTTTCATTTCATCACCACATAATTATTTCTAGGTGAGAAGGTTTAGTAATTCATTATGTATCCAGCCTAGCAGCTGCGGTTCCGCCTGTGCCGTCAAATGTTGGAAATGGGACGTCAATCAGATCATCATGAATAGGACTTTGAACAACATGATGTATGGCATCCTTATCTTGAATCGCCCAATCCCACAAAATCCAGCATTTATGAAGCGTCTGTGGAACAAAGGTAGGTTTTTATATAAAATAATATAAGTACATTTTTAAATTAATATAATGCCACTGCACAGTGTAACACCCACTTTTCAGTATTTTATGTTATTAGTCTCATGTTATAGCGGGTGACCCCCGCTTCTGCAGATTTTTTTTTTTAATCTAGTAATACTTATCGAACCTGAGATGAGATCCTTTGCCCGGCAATAGCTCTTGTGACCACTCGGCCATAGAGGCAGTCAGAAAATACATTTTAATCAGTAGGCACTATTTCAGAGTTATCTATTTAGATACAAAAAAGTCAATATTTATAGTTAAATCTTATCTTAATCTTCACATTGCTAATCTGTAGCCATTTTAAGTGCTTCTAAAAAATCTAGACTGGTATTAACTTCAGGGACGGATTTGCTGCTATTGTAGTTACTGGTTTAGGTGAAATATTTTATAGTAATTACCTAAAAATTTTTACTTTTTTTTCTGCTTTGGCAACCGAGTCTCCAATATGATGTTAAATGTTTATGTTTCATTAATATTGTTTACTTTTTCAGCTGCTGTCAGGATGACTGTAGATGGCGGCACTAGACAATGGGACAAATTCCTGGGTGGCCTGCCAGATGACTTAAAGAAAAACATCAAGGACCCAGACCTCATCTCAGGAGATTTTGATTCAATTACTGATGAAATATTAGAAAAATACAAAAATAAAGGTTGTAAGGTGAAAGTTCATTTTTATTTATATAACGTTATTGCATTGGATTTTTTGGTAAAAATAGTTTTGTCACATTTTTTTTTTATAATCTTTAGATTATCCACACTCCTGACCAAAACTACACGGACTTCACGAAGGCGTTGATTGAACTGAACATACACACTAAGCTGGCTGGACTGGAGGTAATTTTATTTGTTAAAATACTTGGATATATAATGCTTTATTGGCACTGTCTTTATTCTATATAATAATAAATATTTAAAAATAAGTATTAAGTGTGGGAGAGCCATGCTTCGGCACGAATGGGCCGGCTCGACCGGAGTGATACCACAGCCTCACAGACCTACGTGAAACAACGCTTGCGTTGTGTTTCGTCGTGTGAGTGAGGTTACCGGAGGCCCAATTGGGTAGTTTCCAGGGTATCAAAATTAAAAATCTACTAAGTCCGTCCGTTAGATAATAAAAAAATATTAGACAAGTATTTTTTTTTTCTCGTATTAAGTTGCAATACTTAGATAAAATGGCGCAAGTTTAGGAGTGGGTGGTTGTTACGTCAAAACGTGCCATAAAATGTGGCACGCTCTGACGTTACACGATATTTTAAATTAATATATCGTCGGAAGTATTTAATTTTGTGAGAAAAGAAAAAATACTTAGAAACGTATTTTTTCTTAAATTAATGTATCAGACGGACATTAAAATAAAATTTAGGAAACTACTCTATAACCCCTCCTCCCTCTTTCCCAATCCCTGAATCCCCAATAATCCTCAAATCCGTAATCTCCAAAGGTCGGTAACGCCTCTGGTGTTCCTCCTGTGTGCTTGTTTACCGGTTTATTCCATAAAAAAAGTAGATGAACTATGTAAATCTGCATAGGTTTTATTTAACCTTTTTTCTTTGACTTTCAGCTGTCTCACGTCATAGCAGTGGGCCAAACATCTGGTCGCTTGGACCAAATCATAGCCAATATCCAGACTTTGTATCTGGTTAAGGAACGGTTCCTCCTGAATCCAAAAACGAATGTGTTTCTGATGTCTGATGACTCCATATCATGGCTCCTGTACCCTGGAGACCATGTCATATATGTGCCGGAAGAGACTAGGCAGCACAAGAGAGCTTGGTGCTCTTTAGTGCCGATTGGAGAAACCTGCCAGTATGTTACTTCAACTGGATTAAAATGGAACCTCGGTTAGTATTATTACTCTTAGCGGTTTCGCACGTGAATCGTAAACGCGGTTGTATTGTGAGCGTATCTTTACGATACCAACTATCATTATGACTATGGGTGAAGTGGATTTAATGGGTAATTTACATACTTTCGTTTGCACTCTTATGTGGCTATTATAAAACATACGCCTAAGATACGAAGCTACTCGTGGCAACTTCAATTTTTAGAAAGTTTTCCGTTTTTAAGTACTGATGGTAGGTATCCCAATAACACTTAGATAGGTACAAGGAAGGTACATGTACAAGGGAATTTGATATTGAAATGAATCTATCATTACAATTATGGAAAAGTATCAAGCAGAAACTCCATTTCAACTTTAAACTGTATTGTTCCTGTCTTTTATATTATTGATTTGATATTTTTCAGATAACCAACCTTTGCGGTTTGGTGGAATCGTAAGCACGTCCAATACCTTCGATGGTTCACAGAAGGTCACAATAAAATGCAGCCACACTCTACTATGGTCGATGAAAGTACCCCTTATTACAAGTAAGTAGATCTTCATTTTAAAATTCATCATCCTCGGCCTTTAGCCTATTGTTTATCAAACTCGGAAAAGTAAAATAAAATGTGTAAGATCTACACGTCTACACAAGACTAATACGTATAATATTTGTCTAGCTATATAATCAGTTTAGTTTTTTAATTAATAAACCAAATGGTATTTGCACATAAGAAAACATTAAAAAAGAAACCCGCGTAAAAACATGTCTATGTATTTTTTTCGGCGCATTTCATTTTTTTTTTATTTTTTTTTTATTAAAAAAACGTTGCCCCACATTAGGATTTTCTCCTGTGTCGTGGGTGCGTTTACAAACATACAAGTTCATATACACAATGACACCCAGACCCGAAACAACAATTTGTGGATCACACAAAGTGTTGTTCCGTGCGGGAATCGAACCCGCGACACGTTGCACGGCAGCCGGTTGCCCAGCCACCGCACCAACCGTGCAGTCAATTTGCCCCTCCTTAGCCCCAAACTTCAAATTTCTAACCTAAACAAATCGACAACGCATTCTTCTGCTATTACGAGTGTCCATGGATCGCTACGATTGTTTACCACGAGATGATCCGTTTGCCCGCTTGACTCCTTATGTACATACAACAAAAATAACATTAATACTTCAATACCCAGTTATCCATTATTTGCATTTTAGTACGTAAGATAGACACGTGGTAAGTTTTTAAAATTTTAATCAAACATTGTTTTTTGTTTCAGTGTCGTAAATGGAAAATGTATCGGACAATTTTGTATTAACTGTAGGAGAAATATTCCACAGGTTTGGTGTCTATAAACTGCTCATGTAATACGGCAGTCATATTAACTTTTTATATGTACTGTCAATTTTGTATCTTCCTACTACTAGTGTAATCATCTAGGTAAATATAAACGTGCCAAGTGCATCTATACACTTTAACTAGGGTCTGTCATCACAAACAATTAAAATTTAATCATTTCTTACTTCAGAAATGATGTGAACCGAATGAAATCTTTTTCACGTACTTTTGTTTACACGGACCTTACTAACGAAGATTTTTGCGGTCGCCAGAGGGCGCCATTGCCGTTTTAAAGTCTTCTTAGTGCTTACATTGACAGCTGTGAGAAGTTTACTAAAAAATACTTTAATTATTCACACATTTTATATGTGATACCAGTGACATGTAATCCTTCATGATTTTAACATGCTCTTAGATATTTTTAGGCAAAAACCTTAACTGTTTATAGATTTTGTTGAAAATAGTAAAGATCAAGGCTAACCCATGCCAAAAAGGTTATATACCTATTCATAAAATTATTTTATGGTTAATAGCAATGTACTCCTAAGTTATCACAACGCTCATTCCATTTAAAATATAGGTACTTTAATGCCTATGTTCAAAAAGTAGGTACTTAACTACATTGTCAGTCGTGGGATAAAATGTATAAATTCAATATATTATAGGATGGTGATAGTTTACGGTCCATTTCCAGTTCATAACTAAGTAAATGTAACTCTAATGTTTCTGCTATTTAAGGCGATTTTTGTTTAACCTCTTTGGTCGAGTACCTACTCGACAATGGGTTCGTAGACTCGACTGTGAAACAAAATATTATTAGTTTTCTATCAGAGTTTTCCATAGCCGAACTGTAAACTTTCTGACATTGTTGTATGGCTATTAACTTGCCTCGTTACTAAGGATGAGACATAAATAACATATCTGAGGCCTTAGTACGAGTTTGTTTTACGTTTGAAGTATTCGAAACGAGTGCGCGTTCGGCGCACTGATTGGCCGGCGCCAATGAACCAACCAATAAGAACGCCGAACGTGTACTCGTTACGATTACTTTAAACGTAAAACAAACTCGTACTAAGGCCTCTGTAGCTTAACTACGTATTATTTACCTTTTATTAGAATAATTTTAGGACTGCTAAGTTAGGCACTCGTTAACCGCTTATTAATATTGAATGTATAAGCTCCACGCTGTTTAAAATATTAATGGTTTAGAGCGCTGCTGGCCGGCCTCTACATAATGTATAGTCCATAAGTCCATGTTTTAATAATATAGTGAAGTTTTCATAGGCCCACAATATTTTTTTTTAGTGTTGCCCCACACTAGGATTTTCTCTTGAGTCATGGGTGCGTCTACAAACATACAAGTTCACATGACATCCAGACCCGAAACAACAATTTGTGGATCACATAAAGAGTTGCTACGCGCAGGAACCCAACCCGCGACACGTTGCGCGGCAGCCGGTTGTCAAGCCACCGCATTAACCGTGCCGTCAATTGATCTCCCATTTATTTTATTTCACGACTGATGATGTGACCTTCATGTAGAGTGAACTTCTATAGAATAGTAGGTAAATTGTCAAGTTGGTCGTGGGAACGATGTTAAAATATCCACTTATTGTATTGTATACGTAATTTAACGAATGGATGTCGGTGTTTTGTATAATTATTAAGTTGTTTTAATTAATTTATGATCTGATAGTTATGCAATGGTTTTAATTTGGCTTCCAATGCTGTTATTGTGTCCTTAAATGTACTGTGTGATGTGGACACACTGAGACATTGGTTATATTTAGTTTAAACTTGTTTTATTGTTAGTTGCTTGTATATTATAAGTTTATAACGCCAGGCGACAAATTTTAGCCTATATTTGTGCATAGTTTACAGTACAGACAAACAGAAAGTATTACTTTTGTGATAGTAAATAATAATGTAGTTACGTGTAACTTTATAACTAACCAAAGCACTTATTTAAACTACTACTTACTCAATTTTATAGAAATATTGAACAATCATTTTAAATTCCTAAGCCCCGATCCCTAACTCGATTTTTAATTTTCATGATTGTGATATTTTGTTGTTTTGTAGGAAGCAAACGATGAATACTTTTTGGTTGAATACTTTTAATCTTTTTCCTTTTTGTCGTGTGATGGCAGTGTAGAGTTCTTTCTTCAGCCTTACTCTTCCTGCAAATCATGTAATAGTCAACTAAAGGTCTACATATTTAACGGCGAATGGTCACTGATGAACCTAATCCTTTCAACGCACATGCCCAAATTGCTGATTAATTATGGCAACTCTTTTCTAGAAGAGTCTCAAACGCCCGAATACTGAAAGACTATTTTAAATTAACTTAAATATCGGGCTATCTCTGTCATTTTACAATGAATTTGTAGTCACAGAACTATACTTAACTCGTCGAGTACCGGTTTTGCAGACACAATTATAGAACAATAGGTTGCGGTCACCGGTGACCGCTTGGTATTTGACAGTTTAAACGCGACTTAAAAACTACCAGCCTTTCACTATTCGGGCGATAGACCAGTAGTGAGTCTCACGTGTTATTGATGACGATCTTTTTCTGAATTATTGGAAACAGGACCATGACAATAAATACTTTTTTAAGGTCTACAAAGTACTGAAAAAATAAAAGATTATCTCCTCTTTTCTTCTTCTCTATTCGTTGTGTGTATAGAGAAGAAGATACAATTGTTGTATATATGTGTGTGTAAAAAATTTGTCGCCTGGTGTTGCCAGTTAATAATTAATTTCATTCTACCTCGCATGTTGTTAATTATTGTTCCTTGTTTATATTAGTTGTAGTACAATTTGTTAATGTTTTTATTGATTAGTATGGAATGAAATGATTCAATATCCATGGAAGCCCGTTTTAGGGGTTGATGTGATAGTTGTGCCCACCCCTTGACATTACGTAGGTAATAGATACTCAGATAGTTTTTTAGTTTCCGCCATTATAATTACAAATTAGCAAGTTAAGTTACCAGCCGTTCATTCAATTCTATTACATCCTGTATACAGTCTAATCGATTAACCTACTTCTTTTTGTGGAAGTTGATCAGAAAATAAATAATGTTAACAAATTTTTATAGTAGCTCTTATTATTATGAACAATGTAATCAATTTCTGTAATGACTAATAAATTTTGTAAAACCTATTTATGAAAATATGTGTATCAGGTAACGGTAGAAGTAGAGTGAGGCTCTAACGTGTAACTTAAATATATTATCTATCAATCAGACTACATACAAACTAATTTTGATATATAATCTGTATGAGGTGATGTGCGCTTAGTTTACTAACTGAATAGAGTAGTAGACAGTGTATGAAAATTAAAAATATAATTAGTCCGTCAGTTAGATAATGGAAAAATATTAGACACATATTTTTTTATTTTGTCGTATAAGAAAATAATACTTAGATAAAACGGAGTTAAGTTTAGGAGTCGTTACGTCAAGCTACCCTATAAAATGTAGTAAATCGTGACGTCACACGATATTTCAAATCAATATATCGTCGAAAGTATTTAATTTTGTTAGAAAAGAAAAAGTACGTGTCTAATGTTTTAAAATAATCTACCAGATGGACAATAAATTTATATTTAGTATACTACCCGATTACTAAACACATTGTTGCAGAAATGTTTATTTTTTGATTTACAAACCATGACGTGATTATATTCTAGTGAGAGTGAAAGAGAAAGAAAATTGTTTTAGTAAAGACTATAATATGATACTCGGTCTGGGCGAACGTCGAACATACGACAATTTATGAGGCAAGCGAGTGATGGCCATTTAAAAAGTTTTCATTTATTTATACTTGATAGAAGGATAATGCCTTTAATGTAAGCTAAGCACACATTGCCATTAGAGTTATTGAAAAACCCAATTGGTTCTCCGTGTATTTTTATCACAATTTATTCTCCCGCCATTTCATCGGGTTAATGTCGGTATTTGTATATCAATTTGTATAAAAACGGTATACGAGTTCTTAGAAGAAATATGTATGTTGTCTGGAACAAAATAAGTTTATTATGTTTTTAAATCAACTGGAAACCCTGTACAACGCTCTGTTTTCTCATTACAATTAAATCAATCGACATTTAGATAAAGAAACTATAATAATAAAACTTATGTATTTTTTAATATTTTATCATTTTAAACTTTTCTATGTATTTATATTTATGTACTTATTACCAATAAAATTTACACATTTTAGAGAACATTTTGAAGATTTTTTACTACATTTATCGTTATTCCACCTTATTTGTAATAATATTGTAAATGAAAATCCTCCTAAGCCCCTTACGCGCTAGCGGCCAACCGCACGGCTATACGTCCTCCGCGGTTAACAGCTTTTCCAATTTAATATGCAATCGCGATACAACCGTTATGAAAACCGCGTCAGGTGATACAAGCCGCATAGGCGGTCAATCGCTACTATGCTCAGGGGGCTTAGAATTAGAGGTTGACTGCCGAAGGCAGCAGTTTGTACTTCGTATCGGCTTGGCGGCCAGTTGTTAGATGAGATTGTTGCACGGATAGACCGCTCGCAGACGTATTGGGTCCATTTACAAGATGGATGCCATCGAGGCAGCTATTATGACAATGACTGTTTGACAACGTCGCCAAATTAGAAGCGTGTTGACGAGCTACAACTCCCTACGGTTGCTACCGCATTAAAACACCACAGAGTCATCGCCAGCGGCACAGACCTAGCTACTCCCGGCATCTGAAGGTAAGTACCTACCGGTTTTATTAACGACCAGACTTAATATATTCTAGGTTGCGGGAAAGCGCAAAAAGTTACCGTGGTTCCGGTTTAAAGCAGAAGCAGAAAGGGGGTGATGTTTAGTCAGTAAGAGTGACCCCTCCCTCATTCCTCACACAGGGCGGGAGTAGTCGTTCGATGATTTTCCCTCCACAAAAAATAGGCTCCATTCATTACAATACAAAATTTTAATTCTAGTTGTAAATCTAACGACAGTTTGGTTATTGAAGTTGGCCGTTTACCTAATTAAATTGTCCTTCTGCTAAGCTTTGAGCAATGTTTATTGGCATTCAGTTAATCGTATGTCAATTATTACCTTGTTCAAGATCGCAATATAGAAGGCAATATATTGGCATTATAACTAATAACGCTTGCATATTTTTACTGCTACCAATGTATGTTATGTACCTATAGCGTCTAACATTTTCAAGGTCCCATGGTATAGATACACATACCAAAATTATAGCAAATGGTCCACCAATTAGGACTAAAGTAAGTATTAAATATGATTTCTCATTTAATACATCAATAGTTCGTGACAGTCCCCCCATTGACTATGAGCCCTCTTTACATACGAGAGTTTGCGATGCGATGATTACGATGTTACTCGGGTCTGCTAATGATTCATGTATTAAATAGGTAAAATAAATAGCTAATATATACATTAAATGTAACTGTAACTTCAAAGTTTAATGATGTTGTAAATTGTAGTTCCTTGCTATCTACCTACTTGGCGAGTGACAATATTTGTTTTGTTGTAGCTTGTTTAATTGCTATTTAATGCTTTTTCTTTCAGATAACATGGGCTTGGACTACAATACTAATAGACATGTATGTCATAAATATTTATGTTAAACATTATCTAAAATTGCTTGAAAAGTTGTTCGTTTTTTCATTCAATTACGAGTAAAGTGTAGTGTATAATAGTAATAATTTTAACCGCAGTACGAATCACGCAATGATGAGTCGACGCGAGGCCGCGGAGGCTGCGCAGGAGACGGCAGTGCTACCAACCGCACGGCGCGATCACGAGATAGCTCTCATCTTCCTTATCATCAGCTGATGTGAGAATAACATAGACACGACTTCTTCACTTGTGTGGATTTTTATTGCGGAATACCAACGCTTAATTCATACGTGAGTACTTTTTGTCATATTATTTCAATTAACAATTATTAGGCTTAATTATTACTATCTACCGCTTTCGACACGCCTTTTCGTTGTTTTTAATTTATTTTTAACATAAGTTCGTCCAACTGACCGGTGTGCGTAACGATCCCATATAAAAATAAATTTGCTCCGTATTGTTTACATTAATCTCACTAACTAAAATTAACTAAAATTCGGTATCTATAGTAGATCTAATAAAATTACGTAAACATAATATAAATTATAATATACGCAAATAGGATATATCTAGGGATAAGAATAACGTAATAATTATAATCATGCGCACGCGCATCCATAGTAAAAGTCCCTTCTAAGCTTGTAGAATTAATTTAGAATGTATTAAAAATCGTTATTAAGGTATCCAGCGGGCTTCAAAGTTAGGGAACGGATTTAACGATCACATCACGAAGTTAGCATGGTCACATGCTCGGCGGCACCAACATGGCAATATCAGTCCAACGTCAGTTGGTTACCGCGCGTTCGTCGCGCCAAACGTGTTACCGTGCGAGGACTACGATACGAAACACGATCACTGGTGCGTCCACTACCTCATTATTTAAATTTAAAATACTAATCATACCTAATCACTTAGCTAATAGGGTTCATTTCCGCAGTGTAGATAATTGACTAACAAAAATTCCTGTGTGTATAATTGCAATAATTGTAACGTACGATGCGATAGTAACCGCCTTGACTGCGGATCGAGCCTTACATTATACGAGATTACTTGATGACTTGAATCGGACGCATTTCTTCTTAGCATTTGTTAGTAATTAGTGGGGAAATTGTGTTTTAATAACTTTTATGACTAACTGACGGTGCTAATCGCGTTACTTACGTGATAGTAACTTACTCGTTCAACTGTTTCATTGCCGTGATTTTAATTAACAATATCGCCAGTATGAGTTTTATTACTCATCTGTGTTTTAATTATTGTTATTTTCTGCTATTTTTTTCTTTTATCTCATTGTTTTTCTTATTAATAATGTATGTTATTTTGTGCTATGTGTAAATATATTATTTGAATTATTATATTCAAGTTCACAAGTAAATCACATAACTTCTTATAGTTTAGTTTATCTTAACATTGCCCCTCACCAGTACATATCTGTTTCATAAGATTTTTATCATGTGTTGAGAGTACTTGATAGTTGGCTTTCATGATCATTTTAAGAGTTTCGTTATCATTTGTCTGTGTCAATATCTGGTTAATATCTAAGTCGACTGTATACACACGGTACGCATCGTGCAACGCCTTATTTATAAGACCTGTCCGTACTCTTATAACAGACGCACCACACTCAAATAATGATGGTTCTCACAAATTTTACACACCCATTGAATCACGTGCCTTTATTAACGTTCAAGTATTACTCATGAATTATTCCAAACAAGCAACAATTGTTGATTTATTACAAAAATATCCTGTTAATTAGACTGCGAATAGTTCTAGCCCGACCTTCCCTCTTGGATCAGTTTACTTGAAACTTTTATCGCGTTCGAATTAGTCACCTGACTGAATCTTGTCTTCCGACTTGTCCGAGTTCATTGCAAACATGGTTACGAAATTACTATTTCCTCTTAGGAACTACTTGGTTTACATTTTGTAATGACACTTAGGAATCTTACTACAGATCTTGTTTTAGCATAACATGATTATTACATTCCTGGTTGTACCTAAGTACTTATATCAAAAATGTAGTCTATATACTTATACAATATTATCACTCTTATAGCCAAGTTATAAGGACGATTTTTAAACTTCAATTTCTATTGCGGTTGACCGCCCATTAATTTCCCAGTGGTCGTGTGTCAGTGGCATGTGTCGCTATCATTTCAGTTAGATGCTATCAATTTAATTCCATCTATCTTCTAGTTGGCCGGTGTAGGTCGTCACAAAACCGTGACATAGGTGTTTATTTAGAACCTCCAGTATCATATCACATCACATCAAGTGTCACGTGCCTGATAAGAGATTCAAATCTTATTTCCATCTTCCGTTAAAAGCGTTTCAAAAAAAGAACGAAATTTTCCCGCCACTAAAAATAGTTAACTGTCAGAATAGTGACAGATTAAAATTAATCACCTAGATAGGAAAGTTTAATGGAATATATTAAATTTATTTTTAGTTTTTCCAAGACACAGGTTATGTAATCAGACAAGTTCTTGGTAATAAAAACCTGACTGATTTTAAGCTTAAGTCTCGGCCGTACTTTTTTTAAATTCAACCGGCATACTGCCTTTAAATTCGTATGCGCAGAGTGACACTGATTGACAAACGACGTACCTACAGCTTAGATGCGGTTTAGGAAGATGTAAATGTATGATGTAAATTTATAAAATCTAGAACTTAGATGGAGAATCCCAGTTTTTTTACTAATAAGGATTTTATCTAATTTCTCGATTGATTAATTACAAGGAATTACATTAATTAATTTAATTCTAAACAATGATATATTCTACTAAAGGTAATTTGATTCTAAAATTTAGTTTTCTAAAAAACTACATTGCTTTTTTGTAGTGGTAACAAAACTAACATGTATCATGTTTGCGATCTATAATTTTCATTTTTAGTCTTTTAAGTACACCTCTAAAGTTAATATAAAGTGAAAACTAAGAAACATATCGAATATTGCACTCATTGACATGAAAGTAACATTCATTATGTACACTGGTACACGTAATAGCCTCGACTCGTTCAAAACTAACCACTTTTAAATAACCAACTATTAATTTGTAGAGCTGAGCAAATTACGTTTGTATGTGGACTTATGAACTTCGTTTGCATAGATGTATATTATAACTGTGTATATACGTGTAATATAATTATATAAAATTTTTATGTAAGACTTGGTTTGTTGACGTTGCGGCTGAGCTATCAGCTGTTCTGCCAAGTGCCAAGTTTTCTTGAGTCATTCCTTGCATTCTTATCTAAACCTAAGTAAGTAACACAAAATTAAAAAAATATTTAAATACTGTTCTTCTAAAAACGTTACACCACACTTGCTTTTTCTCCTGTGTAGAGGGTGTGTTTACAAACATATAAATTCCCAGCCGGTTGCTCAGCTGGTGCGTTAACCGTGCAGTTGATTATCATATCATATTAGTTTTTAATTTTAACATGAGTTATTTATTATGACTCACCTTCGGCGAAAGATCTTGATTTACGTAGCCTTGTGAGATGGAATACTAACTTTTAAGAAGTAAGTGTTTGACAGGCTCCGTCATCAAAATCACAACATGAAGTTCCTATGCGATTCATTGAATTTTAAGGGTTTTCCTAAATGTGTCACAATAAATGCCTGTTTGAAAATGACGAAAGAAAATGTGATCGAGAAAATGGACTGGCTTAATATTATCCTCGGTTGATGCCCCGTCATAGACCGTCATGTTTTTACAAATTGATTTCTTATTTTGACATCATTAGAGTGTATAGGTTACAGGCATAGCTGTGAGTCTTAACTAGTTAAGTAACAAATTAAATTATGTAGCTCTTATATTCTGAACGTAAACTTAGCTGTCCAACTTCGTAATTAAATAAAACAAATATTGAAATATGTTTATGAGTATCGAGTGCAAGGTTGGTCTTCCTCAGCGGACGACGTGAAGAAAAAGCAAGTGTTATAGGTAACGCCTTTTAATTACTTATGTAAATGTGTATTTGCGGTCACCGGTGACCGCAACCTATTGTTCTTTAATTGTGTCTATAATGACGGTACTCAACAAGTTAATTTACAAAACGTTTGTGGGTTAGCAGAACACTGACACTAAGAACCCGTTTCGACACCTACAATTTTATTCCCTCTAGAGGTCGTTTTGAGAAAAATAATCGAATGCTTGAGCATTCTTATATATTTTTTGCAAAACTTCTAAGGTTTATTTTGATCCAATTGCCTTCTCTTCTTTGTGGTCTAGTAAATAAGTTTGTTCTTTAATCGACAAATATTTTCTAATTTACTCCTTGTTTCTCCTAAAGTAACAATATAGACAGCCAAACATGTTCCAATGACATATAATAAAGTCAACAATTAGTATGCACGAAGCGTACTTCCATTCGATGTATTCCTGTACGTTATTATGATATTACACATGAATGTGTTAACTATAAATAATGCAATTATGATTTTCCTGCTGCAAATGCTCTCGATAGCAATACTTTATGGGCTGTCATCCAGAAGCTGGTCGTGTTCGCGATCGCTCAACATACAGAAATAACTCGGTTTATATCATATATTGTAATTGTTTATTGCGGAAAGTGTCGAAGTATTCCTGTACAATGTATTGCACCCAGAATACGTAAGATTTTTATGGAAAGTCTTGGTTTTGCTTGCGTCTTCGTTAGACCATAAATTTTCCGGTGTAAAAATAAAGCACATGATTTTCCTTATTAGTCGATCTCTGTGCTGTTTAATCGGTTCTCGCTAGTTGGTTGTAATCCAGTACTAACATATTTCGTCTTTATAATGTTAGCAAGAACGTGTCTGTTACATCAACAGACAATTTATTATTATTGAACGTTTAACTTTTAGATTACGAAGTAAACGATTCGGTGTATGTCTCAACTAAACTCTAAATATAACTTCACAATGAAATGCAAATTGAGGAGAAGTGAACTCTTTTGTCTCTTTAAAGCAAGTAGGCACCTGTATAGTAATTTCACCTTCGTGTGTGACTAAAGAAGGAAAACAATTGTCACAATTGTTTGTGACGACATTTTTACTATTATGAATGCCATAAAATTTTTCCTTAACCCACTAATGTCCTTATGTACAATCGACAAAGTTGGCGGTCGACTATCGTTAGACGATATTCGCAAGCACTCGGCAGCCACAGCGAAAACAGTGGATAACGAGTTAACTATAAAATTTTATTTAAAACGTGAACTACAGTAAACTTTGTCGATTGTACCTACATAACTTGTCATTCAATCTGAGCTCGCAATCACATAAACATACAAACAGGCAACGTAAAAACCACAGATCAAAATGCAAATAAAATATGCCATTGCAAACTGCTAATAAATAAGACATTAAAGGAAAACAACTTTGATTAATTGTAGACAGACATTTTGCATTCCATTCGCGTTAAAATAATAAAAAGGTCACATTTATCGGAAGTGAGATAAGCAGTCGACACCGGAACATACGACAGACTACTGACCTTTCCGATACTATGTATGTAAGTATTGTAGGAACTTGTGTATGTGTTTCTTACTGTATGCTCTAACCTTCACTGTGGTGCGATTTATCCTGCTCGTGAGCTATGTGTTGTAACGTCATGTTTCACAAAACTAAGTACTATTAAAATACAAAGAATGGAAGTCTGCGATGTGCAATTATTTTTTTACACTTTCAAAGGGAAATAAGGACTAGAAAGCAGGAAATGCGAAGTATGTACATCATCAAGGTTTGAGCATTAATCACCACGCTTGCTCAATGCGGGTTGACGATTTCAGACTTGACAGATTTGTTCTCCATTAAATTCGAATTATAGAATTTAATGGAGAACAAATCACTCCTGGGTCACGGACGGCACTCCTTAGGCACGGAGTCTGGAATTGTGCCCGGTAAATGGTAATAGGCTCACTACCTATTACATGAGTCTCATACCATAGATAGGGAAAAGTGGGTGTTACATTGTACAGTGACATTAAGTGCCGTAATGTGCACCTCTGCCTACGCCTTCGGGGATAAAAAGGCGTGATATTATGTGTGAAAATCATTTGTCACGAGGGATCATGTCATCAAAGGGTTATGTATCAAATTGGTTTTTTAAAATTTCTTATTACTTAATTGTTTACTATGCAACTATACCTACCGTATTGTGGTAGCCTGTGGCCTATCTATTATCAATTAATTTATTGCCCTAATAACTATTAAATGATCATTATAAAATATCAACTCAATTAATTGGAGTAGGTACTATGTTGATAACTTTATAAACTCGGTTAGGCCTACAGCCTGATAAAATAACTTGCGTCAAAACTTATCTCTTCTTTACTTAGGAACGGTTATCAATATCCATCTTTAAATATTTATAATTGTACTTTCTTCAAGTCTGACTGGCCCACTTGTAGCTACAAACTGTGAAGAAATTATTTATTTTTCATTCAAGTAAGTAGATACGTTACTTAGTACCTATTCGCCTAGAAACTAGGGTAACGAAGATATTTAAACAAATACCATGTTTAGACACCCAGCTAATGACGTTTTTGCAAAAATTCCTCGAGTTTTAAATACTTGTATTACCTTATCTAAAAAATATGTACCTACCTGTACCTATTATAGGTAACAAAATAAGTCTTTTAATTAAACCGTATCTAACATGTAAGTATTATTATGTTTTTCAATTCTACACGGAAATTAATGCAAATTCTGTTTATATTGGAACAGGTTGCACAGATCGTGATCACAAGCAGTTTGGTCTAATTGTACCTACACTTTATACTTAATAAAATAATAATAATATTAAGTTCAATAAAGTGAATGGAGTTTTGCTAATCCGCGATCTGCTGTGCACAAGTCCGACTGGAATTTAAATATTTACTCATTCATAAAATCACCTCCGTTATCGTAGAAACGTAGCATTAGGCAGAATTAGCGAACATTACGCAAATAAGTTCTGAGAGTTGAATGTTTAATATACCTACTGGAAATGTTAAACATATTAGAAGACGGACAAACAAATGAACTGCCTCTTGCCCACTGTTTGTGTCTGGTAAACGTTACTAATCATTACTGCCTTGTCAATCATTTGTTATGATAACTACCTAACAGCCGTTAAATTATCTACTGACGGTTGCTGAAACGAAATTCTTTTGTTCGTATTTGCGTCAATACTTGTTCAGCTATCGAAACTTTTTATCTCGCTCGCTCCAAAATTAGTATTCACTTGTATTAAGTCATCATTTTCATTCCACTCCTCGTAAAACGTAATACAAAATATTTGTTTGTTAATTGTACGCCAATTTAGAATTGAGGTTGTTCCCAGCGCCCACGCATATCCGCGTCGATTGCAACGTTTGTTAATGCTTTATGGCGTCCAAAATTTTCTTTTTACTTCAAATAACACTAAGGAAATTCGGAAGAAATAAAACGTAATAAAATTAAGAATTGTTCTGTAACTAGTTTAAACTTGGCTCTCTCAGTTTGCTTTACAACTACAAAATTACCTTCTTCAGTCATACTACAAATAAAGGCGTATGTGATATCTATGTTTGCATTACCTGCTATGGAACTGATTACAGCAACTAAATCCAGAGTACTGGGATTGTGCAAATTAAAATGATGAAGTAGATTTTGGAGATAAACATCATAAATATTTTTAAGTCTAGATTTACCTGTAACATCTAACTGCATACGTAACTCATAAATAGGTTTCTCCTTCCCTCTCTCTTTTTCTCTGGCTATCCCTATTACATAGTAGTGACGTCATCGGTAGATTTCATTGTCGAATGAAACTAATATGCGCATTGACCTTTTCCGCGTAATGTTTAGGAAGTTTATTTACAAATCTAAAATCATCTCACTGAGAGAATAATAGCAGTTATCATAAAAACCGAATGGCAATAGGCGTCAATAGTCTACAAAAACCATTGGCCTCGCCACTGACCGCGAACTGCAAACATTAATTCCTGCTTCATTGAATGGGAACGATCTGATGACTGTTTTTTACGCAGAACTTGCTTTTAAATACGATTGTCTTTGGATAAAGCCTATTGCCCTATAATTTAAACTTCATTCAGCTCATGACAATACTCCTTTGTTTGTTATTATTAAATAGTGTCATGTAACTCGATTCCGTATAGTGCTTTATGAAATTGTGTATTTCGTTTATTCTTGGACCCAAGTAAGGCATTCGATTTGGAGGCGTTTCTCTAAATATTGTTGTTCTTTGCGCACACGTGAGTTGGTATGAGCAAATCATTAGCAATAACAAAAACATTTGAAGTGGGTGCTTGTAAAACAATCGGTTCTTTGAGGAGGGTTTAAAGTACTCCAAATATCGATAGTATAATGACTGCGACGTCAATAACTCAGAGAACTGTTAATTACCCATTTATAAATGTTCCATTCAAGCATTCCAGTTAATGATGATATCATCACCATTACAATGTTTCGTTATTTGTTCAGAGATGTTCCATAATTATCGTGTCATAATCTGTTTTAAATTCTACATCTATCTTTGACATAAAACGACTACCTACTATCTATACTATGCAACTTTAGTCATCAAACTTTCTTTCAACGTCTTCCTTTCCATAATGTATATCTTCAACCAACGTGTTAACCGCTGTTGACATCTCAAGAATTTGAAGAACTACATAATAGTTATCTATCATCAGCCCTTTATAGGTAACCGAAAAAAAAACATTAATCTGAGCTTTGTCTAATAACTGATTTCTTCAGCCCTCCCTTCATATTTCTCCAACAATCTATCTATATTTCCAGCTGTTCAATCATCACTTCGCATCTCAACTGCAATCATTCAATTAAGGAGGAACAGTTTTCCATCTTACGTCATGCCTTGAATGTCAAGTTCACCACAATTTCTCAACGGTGTTATTGTGTTGCCTGATTCCGTTAGTTATGGGTTCATGTTTCGATTTAAATCAGATTTTACCTATGGTTCGTTGTCTAACTAATTGAATTTCAGACACAGGCTAAAGGCATTTTCTAGTACCTAATGATATGTCTACCTATTAATAGTCTGAGGTATTTTTTTCTGAGTCATCGGTACTGGTACAGCTTATTCTACAGCATGGTGACTTGTATTATCTGATGAGATATACAAAACAAACTACTACTGTTATTTTTTAAATTATGTAAAATTACTAGCTTCTCATGGAAAACGAGTAGATACATAAACTCTCACAAGTAATTGCGTTTACCAGCAGAGAAACGACTGTTTGTTTTTCAAATTCAGAGTGTGTTGTTAATAGAAAAGGTACATCACACACAGACTCCATATATTCGTACCTACACTCATGATCTTAATTAGAACCATTTATATCTGACGAAACTGTTTGCTTTTAAAAACTTCTTGCACGCCTGAGTACGCGTATCGAATCTAACGTTACGCTTAGTGGACACAACTCGTTCATGATTTAATTTATTAAAAAAGTGGCGCACTCTACCCGGCGTAATTGGTGCAATGAGTCACTTCACTCGATTCTAGTGCAATTATTCAACAAGTGCTGGTATCCTATTTTATTGAATAGGGCGACAACCGTGCAGACAGATCGCCTGTTGATAAAGCAATCGATGGCACCCATGGATACCCACAACGTTCGTCGCCATTCTTTTGGGCAATGGGGATGGATTGTAAAGCAGTGATATCACTTCGGTCAAACCAGCTAATGCCGAAGCATGGCTCTCTCACACTTGACGTGAGAGAGCTATGCTTATACCTGATCAAATGCAATGAGAAAAATCAATTTAGAAAATGTATTATGTGTGTAAACTCTGTAGCCCAGTAAAATATTAACATTAAAATAAATTGTATTTATTCTGTAACACTGCATATACGATTTAGAATCCATGGAGTTGCAATTCCTAATAATAACTTTACAAAGTAACAATTGCTGCCAGTGCCACCAACATTGTGCGACTTTTATCCCGTATTTAGCCAGCCACTCTTTTTGGAATACAAAGCACGCGCCGATTCAACCGCTAACAATGTAACTAATGTGTTCGGATCCCTATATAGAGAACACGATCATTGTTGAACAACTAAACTAAATATTGCTGTACCATAAGTAGCTTATAGCGAAGCAATGTCGTTTCTCTCAATTCACACGTTACCGATAAATTGCAATAAGTAATCGTAAGTCAACCTTGCGACGTTGAGTGATAATAAGTTGAAGTTGCCCCCATTTCAATCAGTGGCCGCGAAAACAAATTGCCGACGTTAGCCCTATTGTACTACTGTAGCTGCAGTTACTACGACAGGTGTCAAATGTGACCTGATATTGTAATATGAGATCTACAATACCTAAAGGTTTGCCGACGTACCCACGGCAGGTATTCGGACTATTTTGATAAATAATGCGCATTGACCGGATCAAATTAATTCATGCTAAGAAATTCTTTAGCGATAAGTCGCGGTTGACGGTTCATGTTTTCTACACCTTTTTAACTTGCAGTGTAAATATGTAATGTTAAATGTTTTTATTGAATCGTTGGAGAGCCTTACGAGAGTTTATTTTAAGTATATGTATTTATTTGTTTGCAGAATCAAGCGGGACATAATAGACCACCAATATGGGGGCCATGTTCCGCAGCGAAGAGATGGCCTTGTGCCAGCTCTTCATCCAGCCTGAGGCGGCATACACATCCGTCTCTGAGTTGGGAGAAGCCGGCAGTGTGCAGTTTAGAGATGTAAGTATTGTAAAATAAATTAACCCTAAAATGTAGTACTGAGATAAAATGAACACCAGAAGCGACATTATGCTCTTAATCAAAAATAGTCAAAATAATAGTGAACTTCTCATTAAAGTCGTTATCAATAAGGTGTTAGGGCCGTTATGGTATAATTTCTTTGAAATGGCAGTATAATACCTATTATGAATTCACATACTGTGTGTTATTTCCTCTGGACTCTTTATCTACGAGGTAAATAATGGCATCTATTGTTCAGCAGTAGTAAAACCGATACTGAATTAACCGCGACAGAAAAAAATATAAAAATACGTTTGTAACTCGTCTACTGCCATCGCCTTGTCTGTTCCAATTCGAAACGAGTTACAAAATTGATTAAAAATGTGCATAAATATTCATAAGGTTGAAATGGCAAAAAATAAAACTGCTATTGCAAACATCCTTTCGTACTTACTTGGCACCCAGTAATCTGTCAAGATGAATAATTATGAATAAAAAGTGTAGTTGCATAATCATCCGAAAGTTGTGAGCGTGACGAGTTAGTTTGGCTTGATCGACCAGTGGGGCACGGTGGGAAGGTTAGCAAGCCCGGGCTGGCAATCCGGGGCCTTCAAGCCATTACGAAGGTGGTCCCACAAGGTCCCTTGTACCTCGCGGCGAATCAACGCACACGCATAAATTAACCAGTGCATTCGTCAGCTCTTGTAAATTGTACCAGTCATTATTTTCCTTATTTTAGTTCTAGTATTATTTCTGCCGTTGATAACGAATAAATGGCGTTTATCATTGCTGTTTTTTTAATAAAATATACCTATCTAAGAACGCTAAAGACGCCACATTTGCATAGATATACATAAACAAGTTATAAAATAAAAATAGATTATGCCTAGGTACAATAACAATCTGGTCATTCTACTTTTTTTCTGTTAACGATTACTAAGAATCTTTCTTTGAGTACCTCGTGTCTATGATAAGTAGACTGTTAGAACCCACAGATGTAATAAATAATCTTGAACTGGCCAGTATTTATTCATATTCATATTTAACCACGCGACATACCTAAGTAAAGTACTTAATAGACATAAATCAGCTACAAAACCGATTTATGAATGACATATCGTTATTCAAACCGATTTGTCTAAATAATAAAAGTCATTATAATATTTCTTAATAGTTCAAAGACTTCTTGCGATCTTCATTAAAGGGTCGTGTGTCGTATATCATGATGAGTTACAGTAGAATTTTATCGGGAAAATAAACACAGCTTCAACTAAATATAAACACGCATCCAATGACAATAACAGGAAAACTGAAGGCTGAATTATATGCACTATAAACAATCAATTCTCTTTATAACAATCGTAATAAAGAAGCAATCAAAATTAACAGGTATATCTCTGTTATAGTTTCTTAGAGGGGTAATAAAAATGTCCACTGAAGTACTGACTCAATAAGCCATGCGTAAGGATGCAATCATTAGCTCGTAAGGTTAGGCCTCCCGTCAGACCGGTTTCCGTCCTCACGCGATTTACGCCACAATGGTTTTATTGTAATAGGATTCACATAAAAACATGGGATAAAGTACTTAATACACTATACTATGTAATGAATACTTCTTAACAGACGTTGTCTTACGATAGACGAGTTGTGTAATTTCGTTATGTAGCTAGGTATACCGTAAGTTAGGGTATAAAACTCATCTATCTTGATTCAGCCATTTAAGACAAACACACACGTTGAACTAGAACACTTTAATGATTATAAAATTCTGTGAAAAATTCAATCTTAATATACAGGTGGTGGATTGAAACAGGTTTATTAAAATTGGCAGTTCGACTATGTGTGTCGCGAAGAACCTAACGGGTTACAGGGTCTCCTGGGGCTCGAAGCGCAGGAGAAGGAACGGGGTGGTTTTTAGTCAGTAAGAGTCTGACACTCCCTTCCGCCTCACCCAGGCGAAAGCAGTTATTCGATGATTTTCCCCCCTTAAAAAAGACACATAGTGTTTCACGGGGCTGAGTGATCCCATGGGCAATTGTCGAAATGTGGATAATGTTACCATATGATTATTTACTTTTACCAGTTCTACCTACACCGTTCGAGGATATACAGACGTGATGTTACGTTAATTATTAGCACTTACTCAAGTAAGTAAGAAATATTTCTGTTTTCATTATGTTTTACAATGTTAGCGAAGACAATCGATTTCTTAATGTGTTTTACTAATTGCAGTTTTTATTGAAAAGAAATAATGTACCTTAATTAGTTTAACGTAGACACATTGTAACTGATATTCACTAACTTAAACAATTCGAATACATAATGTATGAAATAATAATGTCACAAAATGTCGCCTTTTTCCGAAGACATAGAAAAATGCAATACAACATACAAAAATGTTCAACTGACTGTTGACTAGTGTAGACTTACCTAATTAGATAAAAGGAAACCGCATAGTCAATAGGTACTGGGGGTTAAACCAAATCAATCGCAAAAATAAGTAGAACTATACAATAATTGAAATGAAATAATCAAACTTCAATTGTACCGGTTAGGGCCCACGCTCTCTGCATTACTTTGATCTACTTCAAACATTACAATGAAAGACAGCGCGTGAGAGCAACAAGGCCTTCCACTGCCATTTTCTATAAACGATCTTTGTAGTTCTATGCTAACATTAATTAACATAACATGGGTAATGTAATTACATGTAGATTGTTATTTAAATAGTACCTACATTACGTCTGGACCTGTATGTAGTTCTATTGGGATGTGTACTATGTGTAACTGGTGTTAACTGCTATATTTTAAAGGACCTGGTAGCGCGGTACTTCCTTAAACATGAGTATACTGTTAGTGACTACCGGGGCAGTAGCGCGCGCCTCAAAGAGCCATCAGGCCACCACGGATGGAGCCCAATAGGGCTGATGTCGATACAGAGCTGCAGAGAACGTAAAAACGTAAGGGTCTTCGTCTCGAAGTGCAGGATTAGGAACGTGGTGGTTTTTATTCAGTAAGAGTCTGACACTCCCTCCCGTCTCACCCTGGTGGGAGAAGTTATTCGATGAGGGGGGGCTTAAAAACCGGCGTATTTGTTGTAAAGTAAGAATCGAATATTGTAGTCTCTAAGGCGCCTAATGAATAATTTTCCTGTTACTCAAAAAGGCCTTTTTATTCCGTCTGTGTAGTACAACTCCAGACTACGCGTGCTTACTAATACTGGGAATTTACTCTTACTCAACTTACACTGTTAACAAGGCAGTACCTACACAACCTCACGAATAACGCTTTTATTGCTTAAGGATATATAGTCAGCTAGGTATTAGGTACTTACTACGTAGGTCCATTAATCAACAGTACCATACTGCATACTATCAATCGTTCATCCTTACTAATATTATAAATCGGAAAGTGAGTTTGTTTGTTTTTTTGTTTGTTCCGCTTTCACGCCGTAACTACTAAACTGATTGCTTTGAATTTTTGCAGATGTACAGTTAGAAGTCTGAATTAAATAATAGGGTACTTTTTATCCAGAAAAAATTTGATATTCTCGAGGGAAAACGAAATTATTGGTATAGATGGCGCTGTGTGTATTGGTATATGTCATATAAGCTACTTTTTATCCTTTTGTGACGCAAGCGAAGCCGCGGGTAAAAGCGAGTATCGAATATATGAGGTACATTAAGTGGTCTGCTGTTCAAGAATTGGCTAGACTGACAACAGAACCAAGTAAAATATAAAACTAGATCTTGCCGAGTCTATAATAGTTTCCTATGAATCGAAACTACTTAGCAAGATACTATAACAATTACCCACCTAATTTGCTTGCAGCGTTGTATTTAGTCATGTACGGTTACGTCATGAACACAATTTTGCACAAAGTCGAACTCGTTTTGCATAACATGAAACGGTTTTCAAAGAAATGTATTTTTGATTTTCATATGAATGCGATATTTTCGTCAACATCTGTGGTTTCTAAGGAATTTCAAAATTGTCTCAGATTTGTTTGACTTTTGGACAGATTTAGTTGCGAAAATGACTTGAAACACGAGTCCAAATCTGGATTTCTATCCCTGAGATTATTTTTATTATAAAAATATTGTTCATTTTCGTACTTACTTAAAACTCAGAACGAACCATTTAAATCATTAAAATAATCGCCATAATAAGTAGGTCTGCTTCGACTACTGCCGGATACGACCACTCGAGAAACTATTGCTTTAAGTCGCCGAACATTCAGTCTAATTGCTAATTAGACACAATTGCCGCTGACATATGCATGGCAATCTATTCTAATTGACAATTGACACAAGCAATCTTGACTAGCGCAAACTAATTTCATTTAAAATTTTATTTAATGTTTCATCAAAAGGCTGGCAACGCAGTCGTAGCTCGTTTGGTATTGCAAGTGTAGCCGGCGCCGATTGCTTACCATTAAGTGATCCATCTGCACGAAAAACTGGGCTTATCATTTTCTAATTATAAGTTTGAAATCGCCAACCCACCTTGAGCAAGCGTTATGATGCTCACACCTTCTCCGAGTGAGAAGAGCCTTTGCTCAGTACTAGGCACTAACCTATAGGCTCTTGACGTCGAAGTGATGTGTCCGGTCGTTTGTCGGCCTATGCAATAAATTCCTTCACAATCTTAAAAAAGACACCTGTGATATATTTTAATGAAACACATAATAACCAAGGCATTTTTTGTTTCCAGCTTAACCCTGACGTGAACGCGTTCCAGCGTAAATTCGTAAATGAAGTGCGTCGCTGCGATGAAATGGAACGTAAGCTTCGGTACATCGAGGCTGAAGTACATAAGGATGGAGTGCACATACCTGCCGTCAAAGAGGCCCCCAGAGCCCCCAACCCGAGGGAAATCATCGATCTTGAGGTGAGAAAACTATTCCTTAAAAATATGAAAATTGGACCCGGGTATGTCCTAAAACTATTCAGTGGTAAGGGTATTGTCCTCTAAAATTCAGATAAAAATTGCCGATCGTGGAGATAAAAAGGGAGACTTATGTCATCAGTGTGAGTATTCTGGCTGTTAATAATGATAGCTGTAATAAATGACTACTAAGAAGATGACAAAGTAAAGCTGACACTTAAAGGTTCTTAAATAGTATTCCAAATTAACGTTTTTTATAATAAAAACTTCACTGGTTTTAAAAAAATCAAATCTCTCTTCGATAGTTGGTGCTATACATACAAGTTACTACTGTTTAATAGGAACCTATTCTAGTCTAAAGAAAAAAATACTGGTAAAGGCGAAGCTATTCGCCAATCAATTAAAAATATATATTTTATCTCGTGTCTCCGCTCATTAAATAAACAAGGTAAAATTATTTACATAACAAGCAGGATAGGAGACATAGTACTAAGATAAAGATATTCAATAAATAAAGAGGTCATTCACCCGTTCTAAATACCAACATCTATGGTAATTTGATAAAGACAATTCTATGTTGTAGCAGTAGGATTCGTTTTTGTATGATTTGTTAAAATAGAATAGTGTCACAGAAATGTCTTTTGGTCCTAATTTGGTACAATAGGTAATCTGTGTTTAAACAGGTGTCATGTTAAATTACATCAAAGGGACTGTCTGTCTGTCTGTTGTATTCACTGTAGGGCCCTTCCCCCAATCCCATGGGTGATGAACAGAGATAATAGCTCGCTACTCTCACTTCCTGAATCACATTTTGTACAACAAAGAGTTTCCCTAAATAAAATTAAGTACACAATGACATTGGTTTGGAATTACAATATTTGACAAAAATAGGGTCAACTTTTGTAAAAAATGTGCCACCTTAAACACATATTAGAGTGTCTATACCGTAAAATTTGTTTGTACTACAAAAATAAGTAACGTCTGGCTTCTTGGGAGCTTATACTATTATTCTATTTTCCAGTTAAAAGTGAAAATGTTATGTATTGTCACCAAACGCCTACCTTAAAATAATACCAAGGAATAACAGCTATAATTTTTATATTTGTTTTTAATCCTTAGGCCCACTTAGAGAAGACAGAGAACGAAATTCTAGAGCTGTCGCACAACGCGGTCAACTTGAAGCAGAACTATTTGGAGCTGACAGAACTCCGTCATGTGCTGGAGAAGACCGAGGCATTCTTCATCGCGCAGGAGGAGATCGGCATGGACTCCATGACCAAGTAAGTAGTACTTGCGTAACTTGTTAATTTATACTTTATTGCACAAACAGAAAAACATGTTTAGATGTTTTTAAAAATGTTTAATTTAATGTAATGTAATGTAATGTGTTAATGATGTGTGTTTCATTTATTTAATCCTTTATTATCAGGCGACTATGACTCTTAAATATATTATATACCATAAAGAGTTACATTATATTTTTTTCGTGACTGCAAATATAAACGAAACACTATTCATGTACCCATGAAAAGTTGTGAAGCAATTTGTTGTAGGCAGTTCTTCAGCCATTCTATCAGTGTATTGGCACCGTTGACATTGATTGGGCTACCAGCTACTACGCAAGATGTCGCGTATTCGATTCCTCTGACAACATTTCACAAATTGTTGAGTTTTTCAATTTCTATGTTTGTATGTGAACTGAGGACACAGGAGAAAAGCCGAATATAGGAGCATGTTAAAAAAATCAGCTAAAATTAATCTATTTTCCTAGGTCGCTGATATCCGACGAGACAGGTCAACAAGCGGCGACGCGTGGTCGCCTGGGCTTCGTGGCAGGAGTCGTGAACCGCGAGAGAGTGCCCGCCTTCGAACGTATGTTGTGGCGTATCTCCAGGGGTAACGTCTTCCTCAGGCGCGCAGAACTTGACAAGCCATTGGAGGACCCCGCCACGGTTAGTGTTTACTGCAATAAGGTTGATATTTGCTTGCTCGAATTTTGATGAAAATGGCTTTTAATAAATACTCTTTTCGAAGTAGCAAATGTGTTATGTCATCTTCTAGCTATACTTTTTTATAATGGAAATACAGTCAAAACCGCTTACAACAACATCGTCTATAACGACGAATCAGGTACAACGACAAAATTTTGAGGTCCAGTCTATTGTCTTATAAAGCATAAAGATATTGGTTATAGCGACTATTGGTTATAATTAATCGGTCCCTTCGATGTCGTTATAAACAGTTTTGACTGTAGCTTAAACTAATGACTGAAAATAAGCATTTTAAATATCTGACTGCACGGCTGGCGCGGTGGCTGGGGTAGTAACTGCCGCGCAACGTGTCGCGGGTTCGATTCCCGCACGGAACAACTCTTTGTGTGATCCACAGATTATTGTTTAGGGCCTGGATGTCAACTTGTATGTTTGTAAACGCACCCACGGCACAGGAGAAAATCCAAGTGTGGGGCAACGTTTTTTAAAAGAAAATGAGCATACATTGAAATTTAAATAGTGTAACTGGCCAGTAATATTGTTATACTAAACAATATATGGACCAGACAACTCTTGCAATGCAATGAACAACAAACAAATGTTAACAATACTATAATTCAGCGTTATTGAAACTTATTGTCAACTGAACTTGTTTGTTTGAACACAACAAAATCAATATTGGACATTGCATTGGAATCAGAACGAAAACCATTCTACCGATAACTATACAAAACATAACTACAATGTTTTGTTTGTTATGACTATGACTGCACGGTTGGTGCGGTGGCTGGGCAACCGGCTGCCGTGCAACGTGTCGCGGGTTCGATTCCCGCACGGAACAACACTTTGTGTGATCCACAAATTGTTGTTTCGGGTCTGGGTGTCATTGTGTATGTGAACTTGTATGTTTGTAAACGCACCCACGACACAGGAGAAAATC